TGAATATTCGAAAAAAGTAGAATAGAAATCACTATGATTACCATGCATGGATGAAAAGATTTATATCATCGCGTCGCAGATCGTGAAAACAGTTAAACAAAAAAATTATAGAAAGAGTGCATGTCTGACACCTCAGTTGAAAGAAACAACAAGTGACTGACCGTTCATTCCAATTACTATACGTCTCTGCTGTTCATCGTTGAGAAGAGTATGATGGTATGATAATAACCAGTGATCAACAGTACTCCACAGGATTTTACAAACAGGACGATTGTTCACGGTTTAGGGGGCGTTTTACAGCAATCGCTTCTGCAAACTGGAGCAATCGTCCACTTGATGCCCCACAGTCTTTAACACGTGACGAGCGATCGAAGACGCTGGTGTGTGGCGTTGGGTTGATCTTTGACCTTCATCATTCGGGTGTGATTCGTTCACCCGTTTGTTAACTCACAGGGATGTGGTCGCGGCTACTTTTCGTCTAAGTTGCCGCTCGGTTCTGCCCAGGTAGGTGGCCGAGCATCCACGGAAAGAAAGAGACGGTATTCTGTCACAACTGTAGACGAAAACTAGTTCGACTGTGTTGATTGTTCGTTTGAGATGGACGAACTAAGGCGATACTCCAACAAGTTAATCACATCATAACCCTTGAATGATAGTAGTAATAGAACAACATTGCACTTCGGTTCGGACATCGGTCGTTCTAACTTCGAGCGAGCAATACCATACTTTTTCACGAACGAGCTCGGGCAACCATTGTCCTATTCAGTTCTAACATTTCATCTGCGATGTGATCACGCATACAAATTTTTCTCGCACGATCGTTAAGCGAACGAACCAGAAATAGGCCCTCATGCCCGACGGTTCATTCCTCTCTCTCTCTCTCTCGGATATTTCTCGCAACTAAGTTCTTCATGAAGTGGGTAAAATTAACCATGGTAGTAGGAATTGTGAACTGTATGATGAGAGTGTAAGCTCATCGCGTGCATACAAAACAGACGGGGTGACGTAAATGTGACAACCATAAAATATTGTTCCCCCCTCTCTTGCTTCCTCTGTCCTGTCGAACAAACTCTTTATTTCATTTACGCTCTCTCGTTGCCATCAGTCTCGTGTTGAAATGAATTGAAAA